CTTTACAACTCAGATTAGACGACGGCCGTATCCCCGCCGTCGTTTAATTTAAGTTATTAAAGCATCTCCAAGGGGCCGAAGGCCCCGTTGGTCAGTTCTCTTTTTCCTTTTAATCTTTAAAGGAGTAGAAACTAATTTAATTTTAAGAGCTCCAATAATTTTTATCTGAAATTTTTTTCAGAAAAAATTCTCGAAGCTTTTAAAATTAAATAAATTCCTGCTCCTTTAAAGATTAAAAACGACAAAAAAAGAAAACCGGCTAAAGGGGTCTTATGATCCTCAGAATTGCAGAGTTACAACTAAAATTTAAACGACGATGAGAGGAGATGGTCTTCGAACGAGCCAGGCAAAGTGCATTACCACAAAACCACAGTGGCGAATACAAAGCAAAAGTACACATCATGAAGAATATTTTTTAACAAAAAATTATTGAAATGTAAAATAATCTGCATTAAACATCATACATGTAGAGTATTCCCTCTTTTAAAGACGTTCATAACTTTTTCTTGGAGACGTTTTGTCTGCTTTAAATGTCTTGGATGGACACTTAAGTTTCAACTTTATCAGCTGTAAGAGTTGAATTTTATTATTAATGTATTTAAGTTTCACTTACAAAACGTTTACCTCTGTTCAGAAAAAGCTTTTGCGACTAAATCTTATTTCTAGCTAAAAATTTTCGTCCCGCTTGAGAAAAAGAAAATGATGTTTGGAAAGGTCATTATACTAATTTTTCTAATTTTCAGTTTGAAATATATCTTCTCTTTTTGCTTTTAAACAACTACAGCACCCAAAGGATCACATCGACCTTTCCAGTAAGACTTCCATAAAAAGGCTTAACATGATTACCGATCATGTCCACAAGACTGAATGACAAGGAAACTGATTTTGTTCCTAGAATCCCAGCTAAATCATTTATGAGAGGAAATAGCTGCAATCGTTTAGGGACGCTTCATAGAGAGACTTTTTTCGACTCTGCAAGTCCAATAAAAAAAATTGATTAACGACATAAAACACACATCATTAGTTTTTCAAATTAGTAATGCTGGTCCTATTTTGAGTCTTTAAAGCCCAGCCTAGGAAACTATTCACAATGGCCGATTTAAAAAATCTCCTTAGTTGATAAATTAAATCAAACTATCCTACATTTTTGGCTGTTGTCGAGTTAAAGGATTACTGGACAAGCAGTAAGTGTTGCTCGAGGGTTCGTCAAAACTCTTCTGCAAAACTGGCCTCCCAAAAAAGGCGATCACTAATAACGACAACAGTACTTTTCAGGACATCCCTTGCTGAAGGATCACATTTAAAAGTCTCGAAAAACCCCAAGCTCAGAGTGCATACAAAATTACGCTGAAATAGTAAATCATCTTCAATATTTTCGACATTAAGTTAGTCATCTCCCCTATGAACATTTTCACGTGTAAATGTCTTGTAATTGATCTTAGACAATTGTGCGTTTCTTCAGTTAAACATTTCAGTTTGTCTACTGAAAATCTACTGATTTCTTTGGGAAAGGTTCTTTTTTTGATTTTAAAAACAGTTCTACTTGATTTAAGCCTATTAACTTAAAATTCGAAACGCTAAACTGTTGCTGTGGTAGCTTGGTAGATCAGAGGGATGGACGTATAACTTACGGGATAACGAATAGCTTTTTTATAGACATGCACTTCTTTGAATCATAACAGAAAGAATGGCACTGAGATTTATAGCGGAGCTCGCAGAGCGTAGCCCCATAATTATACAAAATGGTAGTAGTAACCCATCAAGCCGAAAAAATTTGGACTTACGACCGACCGTACAAGGTGCCACTTTTAACATGCGTGGTCAACTGTACCGCGGGCACGCCAACGCCACGGCTTTGTTCAGTAGTCCAGTGGTCAGTGCACTAGGCTCCGAGTCGGACGACCCGGGTTCTAGTCCTGGCCGGGGCAAGGCGTTGTGCCCTTGAGACGTGTGGGGAAAAAAAAAAATTCGAGCTCTGCTTTTAGGCTTGGCTAAATCTATACATTAAGACAATCAGTACCGCCAGATGTTGAAAACCACTTCATTAGAACAGTTCAAAGAGATAAATGATTAAAAACTACTTCTTTGTTTGCATTCTTTTATAATTTCTAACTGATTAGTTTTAATATTCAAAGTGGTTCGATGCGAAATAATAACTGACCTTGTTAGAATGTATCATTTTTACTTTCCTGCCTCTAATTGCCTGATTTCGAGCTGGTCTCTCACTCTATGCTTGACGCTATGCTGAAGAAAGAGAAAAGAAATGTATTGTTAAACCAAGCATACCCATCTAGAGATAAGAACTTAGATAATTGTGAATTTTAAAGGTTAATTTATGGATCGAAAAAAAGAAATCAGAGCCACCATTTTGACCATTTTAATACCCTTAACAGAACGAAGGCAACACAAAATTATCTGAGAGTGACTTATTAGAAATTCTGCTGCAAAAGGTGGGGATCACCTTGCTAATTTGGACCATTTATAGTTGACCTTAAATCACATTATGGGTGTTTGACACGGTAAACCGTTTCCAGGGTAACTTCAATAAGGATTTTTCAGTATTTCTTTACGAACAATGACAAAGAATTTCTTCGAAACTAATGTTGACTATCAACATATGCAGAGCAGTAGTATCGCTTCATCAAACTGTACTGTAAACCACCTTATTCAGACAGACATCGAAAAGATTAGAGAAGGAATAAAACTAAGATATTTTTTTCTTTCATCAAATCAAAGTTACGCTGTTTAACACAAACCAACCCCACAGGCTATAGATAATT